ATGTCAAACTACAGGAAAAATATGTTTTCAAAAATAACCTGGCAGTTTTCATTCATTTATTCTGTAAAACCAGATTTGTCAGAAAAGGCCTCTATAGAAAAATTTGAAGTTTGCAACATTACCAAAAGGGTGTAATAATCTTTATTTTCTCAAATTGTTTTTATTTTTGAAGTGTTTAAGTAATAAGAAACCAAAGTATATCGTATATACTTTGCATGGCAAAGCATCCCTTAATATAGTATTTTTTTTTTTTAAGTTTTGAATGAAAAGTAAAATTGTGAGCTAGCTCTTGGATCTTTGGTAATATTTAATTACCTATCTGGAGTTCTTTTATCTTCCTAATTGAGGGTTTGTTTCATTTTGGTTTGGTTTTTCTTTTTCGTTTTTGTCTTTTAGCTAGAAATTGTATTCTATTCAGTATGTTTAAAGATATAGGGGTACAGTGGTCCACCTTGAGCGATCCACCAGCCTCGGCCTCCCAGAGTACTAGGATTACAGGCGTGAGCCACCGCGCCCGGCCTGATATTGTTCTTTAACTGGGGCTATTTTATTTTTCAATTTCTCAAAGCCCTATTAATTGGCTGACTTAACTATGTAAGTTAGAAAAACGTGCTTAGCTTTCCTTATTTAAATTCATGTCTTTTACTCAAACCATTAACATCCTCTAATTGGCAACTTCTAATGTTCTCTTAGCTAATATGCATTAGCTAAATTAAATTTCTCAAGAAATCTCGTTATATAGCTTGTTTTCTTTTAATATATGGCCGAGTATGCATTCTGTCAAGACACTAAACTCCCTTTGCTCTCCCACAGAAGGTCTCTTTCCAGATATGAAATGTGAAGATTCTATCATTTACCAACAGATACATACCTCTTTTAATATAACTTTCATAAATTCATTTGCCTATAACAGAAAAAATGTGCTGGCTGGGTGCGGTGGCTCACACCTGTAATCCTAGCTCTCTGGGAGGCCGAGGCAGGTGGATCGTTTGAGCTCAGGAGTTCGAAACCAGCCTGAGCAAGAGCAAGACCCCGTCTCTACTCAAAATACAAAGAAATTAATTGGACAACTAAAAATACATAGAAAAAATTAGCTGGGCATGGTGGCGCATGCCTGTAGTCCCAGCTACTCGGGAGGCTGAGGCAGAAGGATCGCTTTGAGCTCAGGAGTTTGAGGTTGCTGTGAGCTAGGCTGACACCACGGCACTCTAGCTGGGGCAACACAGTGAAACTCTGTCTCAAAAAAAAAAAAAAATGTGCTGTCCCAATTTCAATAGTTTAAATTAAATGAAGAAGGCACATGAGTCTAGTACTAACTGTGCCTTACATGCTGTAGGCTGTTGCTTGATGTACAAGTTAAACCTAAAAATAAGATACAGAATATTTTAAAATTTAAATCAGAAGCCCTGCCCAATTCTGATTCAAATAAATTTGTATCCAAATGTGACTATCTTCATTTTTGTAATGAATTTTTATTCTTATTCCAAACATTCAAGCACCAAAAAGACCCCGAATGTAAACATGAGAATCTAACCTTGAAATCTGGGAAACTGGGCTAGTTCAAAGCTTGGGTGGAGACAGGAATGTAGGTGGGTAATTATATATTCCCACACCTATCATCTTACATTAGGGAAGAAAGAGCTTCAAGTCTTATCTAATGCTCTTAGTCACTAGTACTGAATGCTTGATTTTAATATTAAAGAACCACATTAATATTGACCCTCAATTTGTCTCAGATGTCATTACAGGTTCAGACAAACTGACTCTGTCATATCCCAAACACTGAAATCATAGAACATACTAAATGTGTTTTCATTTGGAAGACAAATACATAATTCTAGAAATCAAAATTAAAAACCAGAACCTCATACCTTGAGCAAGCATGTTAAATTCCAAGAACAGTGCTATGTGGTAAAGTTCCATGGCTTCTTCTGCCCTGGTCATGTTTGGCTTCCCTGCGACGAGAGCCTGAACTTCACTGAGACTCCCCACAGAGGGGCTACAGTGCAAAACAGAGAGGTCCACCACGTCGGTATACATACAGTGTAATATCACTTTTGCATATTTTTTTGGTATAATGGACTCATCTAATATAATTCTTGTGGGAGTCCTCAAAGTTCGGTCTGTGATTTCTTCACCAGTCCGTATCCTCCTTTGTAATAAATTTCGAAAAAATGGGGACCGTGCAGAAATAATAGCCTTGTGGGCTTTGAGCTCTTCATCTAAACAGTTCTGATTTCCACCAAAAGCTTCAACCAGTTCAGAGTCTGAAGAAAAACTAAGGACGACATCATAATAACACATGTAATCAAAAAGTCCACGCATATCTACATCAAGGGAATTTGGTGTTCCAAATTCTTCACTAAGCTGAACAAGGATATCGACATTTTGGAACCTTGAGTCCTCCATTCCAAATTCTCCTGTATAAAGGTAGTGTAACAAAGCAGAAAACATGGGCATATCAATACCAGCCGTATTGATGTCCATTATTATCTCTGCCCCATACTCAGGTGAGGAAGAAAGCAGTGTTTTAAAAAATGGACATCTTGCTGCCAAAATGGCACGATGTACAGGAAAACAAGTTTCTTGAAATATTAAGTCTACATCAGTACAATACTTGTACTCATAAAGATCAGCCATATCTTTCTGCAATGTCCTGGCTTCTGGTCTAGCCAAACTGGCTTGCAGAGAAAGCTCCTTTAAGGCTGAAGTTCCCTCATATTCCTCCACTAATGCATTGACATCTCTAACATCCCACCCAGAGAGGAGTTCTCGCATCTGCTTGGCGTGATCAGCAGACCTATTAGATTTTCGACGCTTAATAAACTTCTTTTTCAGGGTAGCAAGGCCAGAGGTTCTCTTTTTTTTGTCTTGTGGTTTCTCATGGCCATGGTCAAGGCTATACAATTTTGATTCACAACCATAGCCTTGCTGAGAATAGGATGATGTCCCTAAGAAGAAAATTAAACAAATGAAAATTTGTTTCTTTTTCTTTAACATTCATTTTCAACATTTACTTTAACATTTTTCATGCTGAAAAATTTTGCAAATAGACATTACTGAACCATTCAAATAAAACTGACTTTGTTTTCTATAAAGGAAGATAAAAAGTTTAAATAATTTATTTTTATACTAAATAAGTAGTGGGGAAAAACAGAACAAATTGGTCTGAATTTTAAAAAATGTCTTTGGTTCTCTAGCTATCAAAGACCATATATCACAGATCTTAATCATAGATCTTTAGGAAATGAGAGCTAGGCAGATTTGTAAATTAAGAATATTACGTGTACATAATTGTGAAATGTTTCTTTTTCTTCTTAACTACACCAAGGTTCCATCTGTATGAGTAAAATAAATGGAATAGGACACCAGGAACCTGTATTTCACTATTTTCACACCAATGGAAATTGCTAGTTTGCCCAGGGTAACTGGCAATTATGGTTAAGACAACCAAAGAAAACATCAACTGTGCTATATGATCTTTTCATTTTTGATCCTAAGTGGTTTGTTTAGGATAAAAACCATACAAGTCAGATTTACATTTGTTGGAGGGAAAAAACCTAGATGCTGCAGAATTATTATCTATAATAACTTCCTGCAGCTCAATTCTCTTTTCATCCACTGAAAACACAATTTTACTTTATTTACAGTCACAAAAGAAAATGAAATTAGAAAAACTGAAAGTTACCTATAAACGTCTGTTGGGCCTGTGAATTTCCCCCTACCCTTGGGGAACATGAATGAGGATAGTTAGATGCATTAGCACCCATCTTCTTCAGTCACTCAGGCGTTCCATCTGCTGGTTCTTCAGAGTATAATCCCAGAGGCCTTTATGAACCTTCAACCCTGGATCCAGCAGCCTCTTTTCATCCATTTCTTGATATGAAACAAAAATAATTTTATTCATTTTTTAAAATGTATCTCAGATCACCTGGTAAAAAAAAAAAGCAATCTATTGAAAATTGCTTTCATTTGCAAATAACATGCTGTCAAATTCACACGTAAAATTTTCAGAAAATGTAAATAAATCTTTAAGCTTGAATTATGAATCTGTGTTAGCTGCAATTTTGAGACACAAAATGTATCAATTATATAGTTTCTAAGTTAGTAAAAAAGTAACATATCAGGCTAATTTAAATATATAGTTATAAGAAGAGTATTTCAAAACACAGGGAAAAGTATTTGGGCTGAAAAGAAATGTTTCAGTTTTGTTTTTTTTTAATTCTCAGGGGCAACCAGTCATTATAATCTAACATCCTAAGCAATTTACAAATTCTTAGGAGATTAATACTACTACTGCACAAAGAGTACATAATTAAGTGATTAGTTTTTTGTTGTTTCTGCCTTAAGATAAAGTTGCTTAAATTAATTTTTAATCTGTGTAATTAGGCGTTTCACTGAAAGAGGGGGAAGGAGAGGTGGACAATTAAAGCTAAATATCTTTAGGCTACTTGTTTTATGGTAATTTTGAGAGATGTTATAAATATAGTGAGATACAAGGAAAAACAAAAATTTTTACCTATCCTCCCTATAAAGCCCTAAAAAATTTTTTCTACTACCTGATGTTATGACTTAATATGGAAAGGGCAGGGGCAATAAGAGGTAATTTTAACAATTATGGACTAAATTCTGAACCACGGAACCTTAATTCTCAGAGCTGCCAGTAGGAGATATACATGCAAAGAGAAGAAACTCAAAGAGAGAATAGGAGATAATAGGAATACTTCTAAATCTTTACACCACCTAGATATAAAAATTTATCTGACTAAAAGGGATAATGATTTAAGAAGAGAAAACACAATTTAAAATCTATTATTGGAATTGTTAGGAAATCATTCAGTAAGCAGTTAACCCAGCCTCATAATGAAGTGTTTTAACAGAGTTAAAAACAAATTATCACAAAAAACCTGCTGGAAAACAGAACTGTGCCAAGATGCTTGGAATTTATTTTCTCCCGTTACTGACACAGCATAACCTGAGGAATTCACATTTAAGAAAATCATTGTTAACATTTGTGTTTTTCTCCAATCTTTTCAATACTGTATACGATTATTTATCTAACAGTATCATTATCTATTTATAGAGTTCAGGGTAAGATTGGGAAACTTTCTAGTAACTAGATATGGATATTATGAAAAGCAGCAGTAATTCCAATTAAATCATATATTTATATAAGCAAATTTCCTATCTGAAACTTACCTACCTACCTACCTATGAAAACAGTGCCATTAGACTTTACTTCATGTATACTGCTGGAAGTATGAAACGTTGTCGGCAGCCAGAGACATAATAGTGCATTCTCTAAGAACTACACAGCAAGGAACCTAAAGATAGTCAGACCTCCCTATCCGTGGGTTCTCTGCATCTATGGATTCAACCAATTGTAGATCAAAAATATTCGGGGAAAAAAAAAGATTGTGTCCACACTGAACATGTATAGACTTTTCTTCCTTGTTATTATTTCCTAAATACAGCATAACAACTACTCCATTTACATATCATTTACATTGTATTAGGTATTATAAGTAATCTAGAGATGATTTAAAGTACACAGGAAGAGGTGCCAAGGGATGTGTTTAGGTTATATGCAAATACTACACCATTTATACAAGGGACTTGTGCATCCATAGATTTTCGTATCTGCAGGTGGTCCCAGAGCCCATCTACCACAGACACTAAGGGACAAATGCACTATTTTGTAAACATTATATGTTCAAAAAAATGTAATTCTTCCAGCAAAGTCCACTTAAAAGTAGATGAGTAATCAATTAAACCTTAAAAGTTTGATGCTTAGTGTCATTCACAGTTTTCAATTCCTAAATATTAGAAATGTAGGAAAAGCTGTTTTTGGTAATGCATTTTGAATGTTGTCAATTTTTGTAAAACAGGAATTAAAACTGCCTGCATTAATTTCAATTCAAACTTAAAAAACAGTAAGTCTAATGAATTTTACTTTTCAAGTTGAGCTCTACAGAGCTTAAAGATTCTATTAGGCATTGTTAGTGGTTCTTTCAAAGAAAACACAGTCCTGGAAGCCAAATTTATAGCTTTATTTACAGGTCAAATCCTAATCTCACTCACTAAAGATTTACATTTAAAACAAAAACCAGCACAAACAATTCTTTCCTCAAAACGTATAGAATGTATTAAGAAAAGTTCAGAATAAAAACATTATGCAAAATAAGAAGCCCTTACCAAAATGAGGAAAAAAAACTTAAAAAGATGAGTATGAAATCTGGGAGCAATAGTGGATGGTGAAAATTACTGATAAAGAATTTCTAAAGGTAAGATTGCATGGTGTCACTCCCATGGTTAGGCCTCTTCTCACTTCCCTCTTTACTCAACCTTTAAATTCCATATTGTTTCACTTTTTTGTTTGTTTTCCTTTTTATTTCTACTGACTGCAGAGCAAACTCACTAACACAGCACAAAGTATACTGAAACAAAACAAGGAAGAATAGAGTCTTGCTTCCAGATGAAGAAAAATCAGAAGTGCCTACAGAAGTGGACAGAGTTGACTACTCTTCTTTCAACACATACATATGAGAATTATTTTCATTTAAGAATCTTGCATGGTTTGTAGGGCCTCAAGACATGACAGGTCAACAACAAAATAAGAAAAAAAAAAAAAAAAGACAGGCTAGGTTGAGCATCCCTAATCCAAAATGCTCCAAACTCATCTTTGCTTTTTTTTTTTGGAGACAGGGTCCCACTCTGTCACCCAGAGTACAGTGGTATGATCACAGCTCACTGCAACATCAACCTCCTGGGCTCAAACAACCCTCCTGCTGCAGCATCCTGAGTAGCTGGGGCTACAAGCATCCACAACCACGCCCAGCTAATTTTTAAATTTTTTTGTAGAGATAGAGTCCTGCTATGTTGCCTAGGCTGGTTTCGAACTCCTGGCCTCAAGTAATCCTCCTGTAAAGTGCTGGGATTATAAGCATGAGCCATGACACTTGACCATCTTTGCTTTTTGATGGTTCAATGTACACAAACTTTGTTTCATGCACAACAGTATTTTTTTTTTTTTTT